GGCCTTCTGGACCCCCCTAATCGGAGTTCTTTTACTGCGGGGATCCGAAACATGCCCTCTCTGTGAGATTGGGTGGGACGGGTAGAGATCGTGGGGGCGAGGCGGTCCTTCAGGTCCTTCAATATAGTAGTCAAGCCCGTGCAATTGAAGCCCCACCTCTTTTTAATGTGTGATGCACATAAAATTGGGTAGGGCTTGATCATAGGGGGTTGCGGAGACCACCATCTTGACCTCCACAGCAGTTGCTCCTGATGGATAAAAAGATTGGGTGGGTATAATGGGAGCTGTGGTTCAATGCATGTGGTGTGTGCCAGATTAGAGTGGGAGAGAATGCAACCTTGGTGGCATCATTTCTACCCAGGTCCAGCAGAAGTGTTATATTTTCCATCACTACATTATAGGCAGATATTGAATTTAATCATAAGAAAATAACATAAGAAGAGTCCTTCCGGATCAGGCCAAGGCCCTTCTAGTCCAGCATTTTGGCCAGCCAGATGCTCACAAGCAGATGATGGAGAGGTTCCTCTCTCCCACCCATGTACCACTGAAGCTGGCATTTTGGGGACATACTGCACCTGACCCAGAGGTTACATGGAGTCTTCAAATAGCCTGTCCTCCATGAGCTTCTCAAGTCCCCTTTGAAAACCATCCAAATGAGAGGCCATCACCAGGTCTTGCGGCCATGAGTTCTACAGGTTAATTTGGCACATTTCCTTCAACTTAGCTCCACGGTAGGAAACGTCTGTTGAATGTCAGCCCAGAATGCAGCTCTTCAAGGCTTCATTTTGTCAGAGGCTCAGCCATTAGTCCATTCTGTTCCTAAGGCACATTTTTAACATTTAAGTCTTTAGCAGTTTTACACTGTGATTTCAACATGTGGCATCTTTGACTTCCCCAGGTGAAACTCATCCGTGAGAAGATGAGAAGGAGGGGCCTGTCACAGGTGACCGTGGAGAGCTATGACAACTTGTCAGGTAGGTCCCCGTTCAAATTTTACCTGAAAAGCAGGTCAGTGAGAAACCCTGAAAAGATCACAGTGCTGCAACCTAGTCTTCCCCCAATGGGATACTTCCTTGATGGCTTGGACTAAGACACCCATTGTTCCCAGCCAACTTGGCCATGCTGATTATGGATGATGAGAACTGTCCTGTGCGCCGGGAGGGCTCCAAGGGGGAGGAGTCTGCTGTGAAATATTTTAAGGGAGGCAGTCACTTCCTGGCCTTCTCTTGGGTCTAGCAATATAGAGAATCGGGGAGATGACCTGGAGGGCCATAGGCAAGAACTGGTAGAGGAGCAAAGAGAGCTGAAACATTCCTTAATATCATTGTGTATTCAGAAGAGACTCAGGCAGGCTCCTCCCTGATGCACGGGGGAGGGAAAGCACCCTCAGGCTTGCAAGCTTTTGTTATGAGAACCTATCTCAACGAAGTATAGTTCAGTTCTTCCAGTGGATTCTGTTTCCTGATGTGGTCTACTCCAGCATTTCTCAACCTTGGCAACTTTAAGATGCGTGGACGTCAACTCCCAGCATTCTGGGAGTTGAGGTCCATGCATCTTAAAATTGCCAAGGTTGAGAAACACCGGTCTACACCAAAAGGCTGACAGGCAGTGTTACACACGCTGCTCCCAGGTTCAGCTTACGGTCACTCACTCACACACTCACAGCCTGTTGAGGCACGCGGATCTTGTCAGCCCCCCTTGCTTTCTACCTGGGTTTTCCAGATAGGTGCGGCTGGAGAAGACAAACACACAGCCCTGGGCAACAGCGGGGAAATAATTAGGGATACACACAAATCACTTCCAATCGAACACTGAGGCACAAGAAGTTCTTTGTAATACATGGAGACCCAGTGAATTTAAAGTAACGGCAAAACTTTACTGGTTGCAAGGTGCATTTGCTCTTTCTCATACACACACATGTGCTCTTCCACACTTACCCACGTTCTTCCCAACTAAGCTGCCAGGTGCTAACTAGAGGGACAGAAGCCCTTCCCAACTAAGCTGCCAGGCGCTAGCTAGAGGGACAGAAGCTGCCAAGTCTGGATCCAAAGGTGGCTCAGATGACTCAGATAACTCAGATGACTCAGAGTGGGCGGGCTTTGGAACCCCTTTTATCCCCAAAAGTCCTTGCCGGGTTGATTTACAAGTGGATGGGATTGGGGTGAGGGCTTCCATGTGCTCAGGCCCAACTTC